TATTAGTGGAAAACTCTGGCTTTCTGTGGAGTGTCTCGTCATTGTCTTATCAATAAAGTCCTGAAATAAACAGAAATTTGAGAAGGACAGAGGTACCAGAGGGACAGGAAAAAGAAACCTGCTCCCCCTGCAGCTGACTTTATTTCTTAGTGGTTTCTTATTCCCTTCTAATGCCTTCCACTCACATCCCAAGTAGAGCAGTTGGCAGAGGCCGCAACAGATGGATGACAGGCTCAGCACAGGCGGCGTATCTGGCACCGGGGCACTTGACTTTTATTTACTAAACAGTTAGCCAGATTTCAGGAGCTCAGTCTGCTGATGCCCGTGTTTGGCTTAATGTGAAATCAGTATCTAGCCCATGAATAGTAAAATATTACCTGGAGAAAGATCATATACCCATTCTTTACATAGCTTCGTGGCTAACTATGTTGCTCTTGGTGTAGCTTATGAAGTACTGAACAGTGGATTTAAAAGATAATAACTGCTTTGGTATAAGACTTCTGTGGCTTTAGATAGTACAGTTTCCTTGAATGCCCCCCCCCCCATCAGAAGCATCTTTCAGTAAGCCAAGCCAGAGTCAGTTGTACCAGTGTCTGGTACTGGATAAAGCTGTCAGGTAAAAGTGAGAGCTTGAAGATGAGCTCAGACAATTGATATCTTGATCCCTTATTACCACCTTCACCGTGACAGATTGATACATTCAAAGTTCATGCAGGTTTTTAATGGCGCCTTCTCCACTGAAACAAAATTGGAAGCACTCCCACTCTCCTCACTTAGTATTTTATTTACTTCACCAATATCTGTGTGTCTGTATCCCTGAGAGCTCCTGGAATAGAAGGAATCATCTCTCTCATCTCTGTGATGCTTGCACCTGGACCAACAGAGGATGCCCCGTGTTGATGGAATTTTCAACTAGTGCTAGCTGAATGGTGCAGAATACAAGAAAACTTAGCCTAAAGTACGGGAGAGAGACGAAAGAGAAATGTTAGACACCTATATTGAGGGGAGATGGAGAAGGGTGCATTAGTAAAAACTCCCAATGCTTTATGCAAAGGCAAACTTCAGGGAAGTAGTGGAGAAGTAATGCTTCCAGAGGGAAATGTAATAGGGACAGCGTGTACCACTCCAGAATTTGCTTTCCGTTTCCTCATCACCCGCCTCCCTGCTCTCTTAATCACAGCCAGTCTCCATTATCTGGCTTTCATTTCCACCCAGTCTCAGAATGAAAACCTCCTTACTTCTTGATACTATTGCTAGGAATTTTTTCATCCTCCAAGGCTTCCCGATCACCTACTGCTAGGCTAAAACTAAGTTAACGGACGGCTTTAGCACAGCCGGGCTCTAGTAGAAGTAACGGATATGGAGTCACACTATAAATTACTCATCACGAGGAATACTCAGGACAGGAAATAGTTTGCAGTGGCTGGTATCTCACCGTCCTCAATTAGGAGCTGACTGATGGCACTGTGCGCTGTATCTTAAATCATCTCTCCCTTGGCGGAATGCCTGAGCACATCAGGTCTCTCAGCAGATGATTCACAGTAAACGTCTTGATCTCCCTACCACGGCTTTGCAGTTTCGAATTTATTTAGACTGTCTTTAACCTACTCTGACGATGTAATAAAGCCGAAACCTTTGTCTCTGACAGATACACTTTAAGCAGATAATATTAATTCCGTAAGATCCCAGGTTTTTTTTTATTAGATCTTACTAAGGTGGGTAAGTGTCCCTAACGTCACTAAGTGTCACTAAGTGTGGAAGGAAACACCTTTACCACCTCTCCAAATAATTTCTAAATTGCTCAGTTTTTTTTTTCAAAGCTCAATATAACTTTCATACTTGTCAATTTTTAAAGGTGTTTGGAACTAGAATTTTTTCTTTGAAAGGAAATCTTAGTAGTGCTCATACTTGGTTAACATTATCAGTATATGAAAACACATTTTAAGAAGCAAATGACATTAATAGAAGAACACTTTAGACTTTAGTATCCAAAGCAGTATGGGGTGTGTGTGTGTGTGTGTGTGTGTGTGTGTGTGTGTGTGTGTGTGTG